CGTCACAATGCATAGGTAAGCATATTTTTTGCACAAGGCCCTAAACAAACTTGAATCGCTGCCAAGTAATACCTGTGTAGTCAGCATAAAAACGTAGGTCTATCGTATTTTTTGCACAGGGCCCTTACAGATGATGCAACAGGTATAAAAGTCGCTGCCAAAATCGTAGTAGCAGCGTTGTGAATCGTAGTAGCAGCGTATAGTGTATAATGTAAACACAGTGTAAACACCCCGTATAGGACATATAGGGGCTATGTATTAACCCACCTAGCCCCCTAGGGTTAGGGTTAGGGTTGTAGTGAGTTGACCCAGCTATCCCCCACAGACCCCCTAATCTGCACTCAGTTGAACCCCCTATCCTCCCCCAGGGGCTGCACTCAGTTGAACCCCCTATCCCCCCCCAGGAGCTGCACTCGTTGAACCCCCTATCTCACCCCAGCTGCACTCAGTTGAACCCCCTATCCCCCACAGCCCCAAAAGTGCACTCAGTTGAACCCCCCATCTAGGCGGTTTATACTACTCTTCTCTGTAACAGATGTTCTGTGGGTGATATTTCTTTATCAGTGGTTTGGGGGAAAACCTTTCAATCAAATCTATTTATCCGGTATTTTGTTGGTGACAAATCTTTATATGGTGTTCGTTAGTAACCTTTTTGTATTAAGTGTTCTGTGGTTGGTATTTCCTTATCAGGTACCCCCTATATAACCTCTACATATGATCTTGTTTAAAAATCCTTTTATTTTTATTCTATTCATTTTCAAAAATATTGTTTCGTTTAAGTTCTTAATTTAATTTTAGTCAGTTTGAATATTACATGTACTGAGAATTATTCATTATTATCTATATTTAAAAAATATCTTATAGGAGGACGAGATTAATCAGAGGAAGCTGAATGGTATAAAATGGTATAAAATACATAAATTGTATTTCTATTTAATCTTTCAATCTCAGAGATGTAATTTTTAGGATCGATGCTTAATCCCCCTAATTATGAACAAGGCAGAAGACGAAAATAAATATATGGAATGGTTTTAGATATTATTCAGGAAGGGTGAGTTTTTCATTTTCTAAGTATGATTTATAGTTCTAGTCTACAATTCTATACATGTGGGGTTTTCCTATTGTGCTGAAATACTAAAAATATTCTCAGAATAAAAAGTTTTTATTAGAAAAAATACACATATACATAATTATAAATACGGATAAGATTATTTTCACACGATGACTATTATGTATTAATCTATGTATTTGTTCATTTCTATGAAACGCTGCGATATTTCCTGTATTTACAAACGTTTTACATATATTTCTTAAATAAAACTAGAGTATTCGTAAATGACTTTTTAAAATACATACTAATAAATACATATTAATAAAGAAAAAAATAAAGAATTATATAAAGCCAAACACATTTATGACATTCGATAGCATAAAAAACAATTTGCCATATTTATACCTTCATCACCTGAATACAATTTGTATTTCTCTTAGATGATTCGATACGCAAAAGTATGTTCTACTTATGAACGATTTTTAAAACGAGGCAAGTTATTGACAAACAAGTTGCAGAAACAAGAATATCAGCAATTTCGTTTAAACTTGTCATTTCGTAAGTTCTATGGACAACACAATGGCCTTGTCAGCAAATACATTTTATCATAAAGTCAAATGCTAACTCACGTTTTTCATACTTATTGTTAAGCCATTATATATGAATTGAATTGTCGACAGATTTTTCCATTATTTCCCAGTCATCTACAATGATCGTTAAATGACAAATATATCATCTTCAGAAAAATCATATTGATAAAAGAGATGAATTTAATTTGGGAGAATTCATGAGGTACGCGAACTACACTTACGGGCTTCATGGAATATGCAGACGTGAAGCATCATAGTTCGTGTCCTCATTAATTTCTCAACAAGTAAATCCATCTCTTAAATGAACTGTAAATATTAATACAAAGGGAAATAAAGTGTATATAATACATAAACTAATTTACTGTACGGGAACATTTAAACTAAAACAAAGATTGCATCACGTTATAAAACCATCAATACGTACGATATTCAATGATAAATAAAATTATGCTTTGGTTATTCAGTTTGTTGGTCTTAGTTCCAAGTGACGTCATAGACATAGCTATGAGAAGGTGAGCTGTTACTGGATGAACTACGTTTACTTATATCGTCATAGGATACGTAATCATACTTTCGTACTTCTTTTTCCTCTTCTGTGGAAGAAATCTTAATTGCAGGCGGGGAATGGCATTGTTCTTTTGTATTTTCTCTAGCTTCTTTGGCTTTCCTTTGTCTGTTTTTTATTCTGATGTTTTAAAAACATATAAATGATTTTTTTAATTAAGAAACAACATTAACAACATTTATTTATTATGATGTTTGGACATATGACAATTTAAATAACTTGCATTATACTTCAATTTTTTTTTTTTTTTTTTTTTTGGAAAGATAACAAAAAAAAATTAAACGAACTTACTCTCATACATTACTAGTACAATGTATTCACTCTATGGTAAAAATATGCTTATTCCAAGGTCGATATCATATTTTTTAAGTAAATGAAACTAATGTCATTTATGTCTTACATTTTGTAGATTTTAGCGATCGTGTATAAAACTCCACATGCTGTTAGAATGGGAACAGATACCAGAATCACAACATTTTCATTTCCCCCTGAGAATATATCATAAAATTACAAAAGTGGTGAATTAAAAATAAGTTGGTGAGTTTTAAAAGCATCTGGTCTTCTCCTACAATCAATAAATAAACAAAATAGGATTCTTTAGCCGTAGAGCCATGTTGTATATTACAATTTGGATAAAAGCTTCATTACCAATTACTGTACCTTTTCCTTCTTCTTTGGAGGTTGGTTGAAATTTTTGTTTAGCATTCATATTGTTCTGTTCAGGGCGAGATGCTTGGATGGTAACTTCTTGAATTTTCCTTTTCATGTTCGTTACATGCTTATCAATATTTCTATTGCTTTCGTTGAAAAAAAGAGCTGTGGTTTACTCATTTTTTCGTGTGATTTTCTTCAGAAAATTGTTCCGTGGGAGAGTCAAACTTTCCCGAACTGTGGACTTGACATACCTCTTTGTTTCTTTTGTGAGGTAAGAATTATTGAAATTTTGTCGAAAAGCCACTGTTGGGGGTTTTGTTTCTAAAAGAAGAATTTTCTAATGTTATTACCATGGGGTCAGTAAGAAACACATCATATTTCATAAACTGTATTATTCAAAGTTACCTGGTAAGCAGTCTTGGGGCCGACAGTATTCAGATTCGTAATAGTTGCCATTACAAAACTGAGTCATACAATGGCGCCTCCTCCATTTTGTTTTTCCCTCACAGGGATAAGAACACGGCGTCCAGTCACTCCAAAAAGACCAACCACCTGCAAAATATTATCAATATTCACGATCATCCTCGTACAAGTATTGTATTCCACTCAGTGGCTACATGAATATTTAAAATGTTCACGACCTTCGTTGTACAAATATTATCAATGTAGCGGACAGTATTGGGATCTTCACTGTCTCGCTAGTAAACTAGCTTGTCTAGTGATGCAGTAGAGCCTCTCTGTCAGATAAGTTCAGCAAACGGCGAACCTGTTTCTCCCTTGGATAGGTGACCGCTTCCACATTACAAAATTGGTGTCAGCGTAGTGACTCTGGTGCCTAGTGTCCTGCTTCAGGAAGTCTAAGAGGTTGGACTTAGTGTCCATATACAGCCTTTGTGTCTGTGGACAGCAGGGGGTTGCCGTAACTGAAGGTTCCGATCTGCTTCAGGAAGCTCCAAGGCTGGGACTTTGTGTCCAGGTACGGACTTCGTGTCCGGGAACGGCATTGGTTGCCGTAGCTTCATGAAGAGTTCAAGACACTCAAAGAGAACTAATGCTTAGCTTTGAGTCGAAGCTTCCCTGAGCAGTGAGAAGTAGAGCCGACAGTATAAAGGGAAATTCACTGCATCGCCAGAGAAGAAGCTTTCCTAGTGATGTAGTAGAGTCTCCCTCTATTCCAGGCAAGTTAAGCAAAGAATAGCCTGTTTCTCCCTTGGAAGGGCGACCGCTTCACGTTACATCAATACTCAAAACCATCCTGACGTCCTCGTACGAATATCGTATTCCAATCAATGTACAAATAATGAAAATATCCTGACCATTCTCGTACAAGTATCGCATTCCAGTCACAGGTTATACAAATATTTGAAAATGTTCAATTATCCAATTGTCCTCGTACATATATTATTGATATTTTACATTATACTCACCCCATGCATTTGGGCAAAAAAGGAATATCGAAACTAACAATCTAAACAACCAAATACACTCCATTTTTTCCTGTTTCCAGTAATGTATTTAATTAAATCAAATTAAACGCTCTGATTCTGACGAGCCTTTGAGTAGGTACATGTACATGAAAGAACAGGAAAATTTATATGTGGCACTGATAAATATTGATAATCGTATTTATTGTTTCCTTTTCCATGCTTTTTAAGTGTATTTATATCCATGGTTTTAGATAGTTCAGCTATTTTCCCACCAATATGTCAGTTCTGGGTGTAACTAGTGAATAGCTAGATAAAATAGAAATTGTAAAATGTTCATAACATAGATAAATCAACAAAATGTCAAAACATCTGGGATATTCAAGACGATGATATATGTGGAGATAGCGAACAGTATTAAACCCCCAAACCCATTAGACAATACAAAATAGGAGCAGAGCAAACACGGACCTCCAAAACATCAGAGGTGGGATCAGGTGCCATAGTGAAAGGAGCATCCCTTGCCGGCCGGTCTCATCCGCCTTGCGCTTTTTGTCATGTTCGGGAAAAAACGGAAAAATCTTTGGACAATAAAATTAATGGCCTAGCAATCAGTATGAAAAACGCTAGTCAGCAATTGACTTAATGGTAAATTGTATTGATTGACATCGTCAATGTATCGATCATAGAACTTACTAAATGATGACTTTAACGAGACTACTGATATTCTTGCTTCATCAATTTCTTTGTCAAGAACTTACCTTGTTTTAAAAATTGTTCATACGTAGAACTTGGTCAATCATTTTAGTGTAGCGGCTTAGATCAAAAAATTAGCAGAATATTTCACTTGTGGATACAAGCATGAAAATTGGCACAGATGTCTATCTGATGCTACTCTATCTAAAAACATCGTTGGCCACCGCGATTTCCGCCATTTTCAAGATGGCCGCCACTAAAACAAAATGGCGTCATTTTTTTTTTACAATCTGGTCTTATATAAAGTTTTTTACTGCCAAAATAATTATAATTTTGGCGCTTAATGGTATTTTAGAGGTACAACAAGACTATCTAAATTATATTCCAGCTTCAATGCATTAAATTAAGGAAAAAAATACGCATTATATCATTCCCTATTTTGGAATTTACATATAATCGCGGTAGTGAGAAACCGATTTTGAAACTTGTAGCAGCTGTTCAATTCCTTCATTGCTATTTTCATGGGCCTGAATAACAGGAAAAAAATGTATATAAAGCCTTCAATAAACTAAACAGTCCTTCAGAAAGTAAAAAGTAAAATCTCGTTGAGTGAGATAATCCTTAAAGGAACGTAAAACTTCAATGAGCGAAAGTCGTCCTCGTGGCGCAGTTGTTAGAGCGTCTGCTTTAGAGTCGCGATTTAAGGACTGATCCTTACGTCGCCGATGATCAAGGACCGGTCCCATTAATCGAGGTCCCATGTCGCAGTAGATGCTGGCACAAAAAAGGTCCCTCACTGCTCAATGTCATAAAATGCCGAGTATAGAACAAAATTTGAACTTGCAATATTGAAAACAGGTATACTTGAGATAAGACTATTTGAAAATTACATAATTTAGATCAGAGGTTGAACTCTGGACGAAATATTGAAATATAACTGTAAAAATTCAGAATAAGAGGAAAATTCATGCCGTCATAATGCATTTACTAGTCAGAAACTTACGTCATTTTTATTGATTCGCAATCGCCAAGGGTTTTAATGATTTTTAAAGCATGGTAAAGTAAACTGCAAAAGCAGTTTCAGTTTTTCAGGAAATCACAGGGCCTAAATAGTGAATCTTGTTCTTTAGATATCTTACAAAAGTTTAACGGACTTCATTGTTCAATTGTTTTTGCCTTTGAATTTCTCATATATTTTTGTCTTTTATTATCGGTTACTATGTCGAAAAGAATTCGACTTTCTTTATCTGCTCAGGAGAAGCAAAGCACAGATTGGTCAAAGTGTTTTATATGTCAGGAAGACAAACTTGAGACACTCAAATCCCCTCCAATGAAACACGATATGGCAAAATCAGGGTATAAAACTCTGTCAAAGAATATCCCAGAGTTTGCAAAGATCAATGAAATGCCTATTCCTCTCGATATAAGTCGAATCGATGAAGGTGATGGAATAGAGGCTGCTTTGATAAAAAATGAAGCAAAATATCACGAGTCATGCCGACTACTCTTTAATAACACAAAACTTCAAAGAGCTCAAAAAAGACATCAGACTCCTGATATGACTCTTTCTGATGTGCCATCATCATCCAAATTTACTAGAAAAAGTACTAGTGCATCAACGGAAGAACGATCCTTACATCTTGAAGAATGTTTTATCTGTGAGAAACAAGCACCGCTTTCTGAACTCCGTGAAGCTATGACGATGCAAATCAACACAAGAATTTATCAATGTGCAAAAAACTTGCAAGATCAGAAACTTTTGGCAAAATTAAGTGCAGGAGATGTTGTTGCACAAGAACTTAAGTATCATGCGGCATGTCTGACATCCTTGTACAACAAGGAAAGAGCACATTTTAGGAAGCAAGAATCGATATCAAAAGTTGCAGACACAGAGGCTGAAATCGATCAGATTGTTTTTGCTGAGTTAGTTACTCATATCGTGGAATCACAACGCGGAAGTACAGGAGGTTTAGTATTCAAATTGGCTGATCTGTGCCATTTATATGAATCCAGACTTAAACAGTTCGAAGTTAATTCAACATTAAATAGAACGTCTGAAAAATAAATTATTGTCTGAAATTCCAGACCTCAAAGCATTCCACAAAGGACGAGAGGTTTTACTGGTTTTTGAAAAAGATGTTGGCCCAGCACTTGTTTCTGCATGTGACTATACCGATGCCATGTATCTTGCTAAAGCAAGTGAGATTGTCCGTAGAGAAATATTTTCCGAGCATCCAACATTTTCTGGTCATTTTGATAGAGATTATATCATTGATTCTGTTCCACGCTGTTTAGTTGACCTCGTGTCAATGATTGAGCATGGACCTGATATTAAGTCTCAACTAGAAAATGGTCTAACAATGTCTGACTTTGCTATAGCACAGCTTTTGTACTTCAACAGTCACAAAAAAGGGAACAGAAACATAAATGAGAACTTGAGACATTCAAGTGACCGCGAACCACCATTTGCTATATATGTTGGTCTTCTTTTGTATGCAAAAACAAGAAAGCGACAGCTGATAGATGCCCTGTTTCAGCATGGTATATGTATTTCATATGATCGAGTTTTGGAAATATCAACACAGCTTGGGGAATCTGTTCTTGATCAATTCGTTGAAGATGGTATTGTTTGTCCTGCTGTTTTACAAAAAGGCTTATTCACAACATCTGCAGTTGATAATATTGATCATAATCCTTCTGCTACAACATCAACTACTTCATTTCATGGCACCGGGAAATCAAAAGCTATAAGTTGTCTTCCAGAAACATATACAAATGTAAAACCAGCATTCCTGAAATCGAAACCAAATCCACCGCTTCTTCACACACCATTGATCATTTCTGATCACGACTATCTTGTCCGTAACCTCCGTCTCGAGTATGAATGGCTTCAAGTTGTAAGTTTAACAAATGAAGTGCTAGATGTTGAGACAGTTTCATGGTCGGCATATCATTCGTCGAAAGGAAGGGGGCCACACGTAAACATCAGCATTTCTTCATTGCTGCCATTATTACAGGAGCAGGCTCATTCAGTTGCCACAATGAAACATGCAATGGACAAAGTGAAGGCAGTAACATCCTTTCTAAATCCTAGACAAACGCCTGTGATGGCTTGTGATCAACCTTTATTTGTTCTTGCCAAACAGATACAATGGGAATGGCCAGAAATTTATGGAGAAGATAGATTTGTAGTTATGTTTGGAGGGTTGCATATTGAAATGGCAGCTTTCAAACTGCTTGGTGATTTGTTAAAAGGAGGCGGCTGGGTGACAGCATTATCTGAAGCAGACATTGCATCTTTTAGAACTGCTGAGTCTTTCTTGACATTTTCTAATCTAGCTAAAACAAGACAAGCTCATCAGATTACTGCCTGCTGTCTGTATAACCTGATAAAAAAGGCATACCAAAACGCAAAGGAACTTGATAATTGTGATGCAATTGAAATGGGTGACATATTTTCTTGGTGTTCAGAACAGGATAAAAAGATTCCACAATTTAAATTTTGGTCAAGAATGCTAAATTTGGAATCTCTTGTTCTCTCCTTTGTAAGGTCTTACAGAGAATCAGATTTCAGGCTTTATAAGGAATCTTTATCAGATCTAATCCCATATTTTTTTGCCCTAGATCACATCAATTATGCTAGATGGCTACCAATTCACCTTCGGGATATGCTTGCATTGCAAACCAAGCACCCGGACATATACCAAGAATTTGAAAAAGGAAATTTTACCGTTAGAAAGACAAATAGCAAGTTTTCAAACATTGCAATTGACCAAGCCCATGAGCAGAACAATGCTATTGTAAAAGGTGATGGTGGTGCAATAGGGTTAACTGAAGATCCAGCGGCTTTAAGGCGCTGGATGGTGGCAGGACCAGAGATTAGCAGACTTATTGAAGAGTTTACAGGAGTATGTGGAAATGTTCACGAGAAGAAAGGAAAACTTCATGAAGAAACTCATGCTGCTCAGAAGGATTTTTTTGCAAAAGTGAATCGGCTTCTAAATACGTTTTTGGAAATGGGAAATCCCTTTGAAGAAGAGTCATCGGAACTTTATAGTTAAGATACCAAAGTTGTTGTAGAAACTGAAAGTGCAGATGAAATATTGAACATAGGAGATATTGGGAGAGAACAATATAGGGCATTTCTTTTAAGAATGCGAGGTGATAATCCAGGTTTTTATGAACCTGTTAGAAAGAACAAATTTCGCCTTTTTAATCCCAAACCAAAATCTGATTCTTCAAAGTCAAAATTGGCAAATTTAAAAGATGACTGTAGCCTTTTTTCTAGGCTTTTTATTTCCTGTCAGAGTAGGCAATGCGATCTACAAGAATTTTTTGAACATGAAAATCAGAAATTCCCTCCCTCACTGTCACAAAA